TAAATTCAGCGTTTTTTAGGCATGTTTCAAATGCTTCATATTTTTTGCCAAAATTCAAAATCGAAATTTCATGTTATAGGTTTTGAAGTTTAGGCTCTAACAATGGAAATTCTACAGCGACCGGTCAATGGAAGTGATAAATTTTATTGATCTCATGAGAATCGTAAAAAATGGCAAAAATCGCGCAACGTTTATTTATTTAACAGCTTTATAGAAACTGACTTCATTTGCGGCAAAATGCAAAAATTGCATACGAAAGCTGCACTCTTCACCTTTAAAATGCATTTTGATTTTTGTCGATAGGACACTCTGATCAAAAGATATCGAATTATTACCGTCGAGTTGATAGAAATTTTATTTAAAAAATTGATTTCGCGCGCGTAACTGACATTCAAAATCACCGGTCGCTTCAAGCGTTGTTTCTGAGAGAACGATTCATTCTACACAAAAAGTGCTAAGAAACATTTTTGTTCAAAATTATCTCAGCTACATTTCTTGTTTGAAACATTTTTTTCTACGGCGTACAGATTCTTGGGAAATCGATGTTTTCCGTTTTTCCCCCCTACGAGGGGGGGGGGGGGTTTAGGGGGAAGCCCGGGGGTAGGAGTGGCAAACTTTTTTGCATCTTTTTTGGGGTCCCAAAATTGACATCCACAGCAAAATCTAGTTTGTTCGTCTCGTTTTTAGAGGTCGTCAAATCTCTGACGACTGGACTAATATGAAAATGAAATTGGGTAATGGTGGCGAAACTTTGTACGATGGAACAAATTATGTAATGAATTCGTTTAATAGTATCAGTCATACTCTACGTATTTTATATTACCGAAGATTAAATCATTTCGAGCCAATTCTAAACTTACGAGATGCTGTAGGAAGTCGTGGATTTTGTATATCTTGCAATGTGTCATATACTAGAATGAACGATCATAAATGCTCACGAAAATGCAACCGCTGTATGGGACAACCACCATGCGCGATGGTCGCAAAACTCCGTACCAAATATGACTCTTGTAATCGGTATTTCTTTAACCGTAATTGTTTCGAACGTCATTTAAAACCCACTACATACGATAATGTGAATAAAAGAAAAAAAGGTAAAAAAAGTGTGTGATACATTAAAAATATGTGCCAAGTATTCTAGATTTATCGCGACAGATGGAAAACGAAAACATGATTGTAACGTAGCTTATTGTAAAACATGTAAGGATTTTTGTCATATCAATCATTTATGCTACATCCAACCCATAAAACATACTAAAGATAATCGGGCAAAAATTGTATTTTTATTTTGTGATTTTGAAACACAACAAGACATACGTATTGAAGGTGATTATAAAACGCATGTAACGTACCAAATTTATGCGTTGTTCAACAAGTATGTACTTATTGTTTGTATGATGATGATGATATGACAAAATTATGTCAACATTGCGGAATACGCGAATATGTATTCGATCAAGACCCTGTAAAGCAACTCGTTGATTTAACAACTAAACCGCTACACATGTTTAGTCATACGATCTCCATCGCGCATAATGCAAAAGCTTTTGATGCACAATTCATTTTACGGCATTTCACTATGAGGGGTACGCATGAGATGCCGTCAATAATATTAAATGGTACAAATGTTGTAATGACAATGGGCCATATTACGTTTCTTGATAGTTTAATTTATCTACATATGCCGTTGAGTGCGTTACAGAAAGCTTTTGTACTACAAAAGGCACATTCCCATATTTATTTAACACACCTGAAAATCAAAATTATGTAGGAACATTACCCGATTTAAAATATTATTCAACTTGTTATATGCAGAGCGATGAGCGCAAACGTTTTTTACTTTGGTATAATGAGGCAAAACGCTCGAATTATGTATTCCATTTTATGAAAGAAATTGTGAGCTATTGCAAGAATGTGATGATATTGCGGCGCGCTTGTTTGGCTTTTCGTAAAATGTTTATCAAATGTGACAAAGTTTGTCCTTTTGAGGAGAATACAACAATAGCATCGGCTTACTCTCGCGGTTATCGTAAAAATTTTCTTCAAAAGAATATGATAGGCGTTATACCAACGGGTGGCTACCGCTGGGATCAGAATCAATCGTAAAGCTATTTCTTGGTTAATTTGGATGGAGCATGAGTTGGGTCATATCATAGATCACACAGGACGTGGACGCGAAACACGGTTACCCGAAGGTGTTCTTGTTGATGGGTATTATGAAAACATTATTGACGGTGCAGCAGTCAAGCATGTTTTGCAATTTCATGGCTGCTATTGGCATGGTTGCTCCCGATGTTATACTGTAAATAGAACTCATGGTACAGATACGATGGACGCTCGTTTGGAATGTACACAGTTTATTACAGCAAAGCTTGAATCCGCTGTATATATTTTAATGGAAATGTGGGAATGTGATTACGATTTTAGTATCTAGAGAAGATATGCGTATATTTTTAGAAAATCATCCCGAGGTCTCGCGAAAGCCGTTAAATCCTCGCGATGCCTTTTATGGTGGACGTACAGAGAATGTGGTATCTCTTTATGATGTAAAGGGTGATGAGAAAATACGTTAGTAGTATTATAGTAGCGGTTCTGGACCAACAGTAGGCGAGAGGGGCGCGGGACGTGCTTGAAGGCGCGGGGCGTGCTTGAAGGCGCGGGGAATACTCATGGATGCGGGGAAGGAGGGGGAGGCGCTGGAAGGCCCCGTCGTTATCGGTGTTTATGTAAACACCCCGAAAAAATGCGTAGCCGCCGCCGTCGCCACCGCCGCGAACCCCGCGCTAACCCCGAAATGCGTCGGTAACAAAGCCTTGCATACACTTACTGCATATATTTACCATCACACTGTCTCACCCGTTGTAGTCCTATACTCTCGCCATAGTATTCGTACTCTCTCTCCTACCCATTGTGATTCTATACTTATCATAGTATTCGCGCTCTCTCTTCTTCCCGTTATATTCTCTCCCACGTTCTCTTTTCTTCTTGCTCACAATTTATTAAATAAATATGGTATTTGTTTTACGATTTTTTAATGGTATGACTTAGCAATGATTTTAATCTAGTAACTAATTATAATATTTTCAGTAATGTAATACAAATAGCTGAGCGTTGTTAATTGTTAAACCATCATAAACTATTATTGAGTAGCTATCGAACATTTATTGTACTACATCGTACTACTGAACAGCTACCATATTATTAATTCTAAATAACTATAGAGAAAGAAGACTCGTTTCCACTCACGGTAAGGAGAAACAGGAAAGTGCAAATTTCAAAGTTACGTTACAAGCAGATGATGTCATAGAAAGAAATGAAAAAAATGTTTTAGGATTGTGGAGGAAACTCAGAAAGAAATAGAGATTACAATCATAATTTTTTATTATTCAATTTTTATTTTAATAATGTGATTAACTTATTTGAGCAAAAATTACGCGCCTTCTTATCATATATCATTCTAAACCACCGAATAGAGGTAGGGAAAAAGGAGACTAAAAATAATTTTAAAAAAATTCAGTAATATAAAAATAAGTATAAAAAAAAAATGGCTCAACAAATATTTCAAATTAGTATATTGATTAAGAACACCTACGAGTCAAAATAAAACACAATATTGTAACATAAAAATAAATTCAGAATAAAAGCAGAAATAAAATTAAAAACAACATATATTTAACGAAGAAAATAGCCTACATATATTTACTGACAAGTAAATCTACCTTTGTGTGACTCGCCGATTTCATTGAAACTTTGCACACTTGTAGAGTAGGCAAAAATAATAGATACGTATTTTTTTTTATCGGCAATGGTCAACATTAAAGGGGTGAAATCGACCCCCAAAGTTGAGGGTATTAGGGCATCGTCATGATGTTTCACATAAAAGTAATGTACCGATCAACACGAAACTATTACAAAATGTTTTTTATGTTAGATAGTAAAGTTTACATGTCCGACTTTCCATGCACCCTTGTTGCGGGAGGTAAACCACCCTTCTCGTAAGGAATAATTGTTATGACGAATGGGTGACGAAAGTCTATTAACATTTTTATCTATAGTCTGATCTACCCTATTTAAAAATTAAAGCTAAATAGAACACTATTATTTTTTGGTGTTTTTTATTTTTTAATATTTTTTTTTATTGAAATTTTTTGAATTAAATTTTTTAATATCTTTTTTAACTCGTTTATTCCTTACGAGACAATTATTCCTTATGAGAAGGGTGGTTTACCTCCCGCAACAAGGGAGCATGGAAAGTCGGACATGTAAACTTTACTATCTAACATAAAAAACATTTTGTAATAGTTTCGTGTTGATCGGTACATTACTTTTATGTGAAACATCATGACGATGCCCTAATACCCTCAACTTTGGGGGTCGATTTCACCCCTTTAATGTTGACCATTGCCGATAAAAAAAAATACGTATCTATTATTTTTGCTTACTCTACAAGTGTGCAAAGTTTCAATGAAATCGGCGAGTCACACAAAGATAGGTTTACTTGTGAGGTAATAGCTTTACGTTTCGACCGCTTTCGGGTCATTATCGAAATTCAAAATTTAAAACATATATACAATAACTATTCGGTAGTGTAAACAATTAACATAAGTATCAATTTAAAAAATAATTACAAAAGACCTTCGTTGTTGAGGTTATATTATTGTAAGTAAGTCGTCGACGCAACGTAGTTCTCGAATTCGTGTAATAACGCTTGTTTTAACATCCATTAATGCAGTTAGAATCGTCAAAGTGTCGATGTACATCATAAGTCCCAAATAAATGAAGACGACAAAATATTCAAAATCGTTGGCAAGACAGTGATAATCTTAGTGTCCTTCACATAATTAAATTTCGGTTTCTAAATATAAAATAAACCAACAATGATAAGAACAAGGTGAACCGTTATTAACATTGTATGCTGAATATGTAGACAAAAATATGTATTAAAAAGTAAATTGTCAAATGTGTATCAAAAAAATAAAAATTTTAATAATATATTTAAATGCCGCCGCCGCCGCCGCGTGGCACACACCGCTAGGACGATGATGAAGCTTTCTGTAAGATAAAATAATAATATAAATAAAAAAAAAATATTTAATTGAAAAGTAAATAAAAAAATATAAAAAATATGACACACCACCAATTTTCCGGTTCAGGATCCTGCTCGTATGGTTGGAGACCGAATAGTTACGCTAGGAACAGGCTGTCGTCATCCCATACATCCATGTATTGCTCTCGAAAATATCGGTCGGCCTGCCTCTCAGTCCGCACCATCCGCCAATGGTAGGGGTTTATGAATCCTCTGATGTTTATATCACAGCGATGTGTAGGCTGAAAAATAGATTATAAATTAGAAAAAGATAATTATACAAAGTGAATTAAAAAATAGAATCAGAATTACAATTAGAATTTATAATTTATAATAAACTTTACCAACGGGATCTTGAGGATCCCCACCTCGTTGGCTAATTGTAATCTTTCGACCCGTTGATTGTCGACCATGAGATACTGGGGGAAAAAAAACGTTATAAATTTAAAAAAATAATAAAATAAAAAAATCTAGCAATAAATTTATTTAAAGTTTTCGACACATTGTCAATTTAACTTGGAATATTATTGCAGTAGTTTAATTGCGTTAGTGACAGCCCGTAATATAGGCTTTAATAGAAACAACAGCATTTTTTTTCTCGGTGTGCATATATCATATTTTTGTAGTTAATCACTGGGAATTATTTAGACAAAAAGATCTAGCTTTGACCGTCATAGGGGTCCGAATATGCTTATACTTAGTAAAAAAGCTGACATATACAAAAAAGAAAAACTACTTCTTCCACCGGATACTCGTACCGGATCTCCAGGACATCTCTCAAGTTGCTCATTATACAGGCCGGTTGTTACAATTTTTCACAATTTTTTCTATAAAAACACACTATCACTTTCACTTGCAATGAAAAACATAAACGCAAGAGTATTCTACCAGCTAAATGGTACAATACTCTTGCATATCGTTTTATAAAAAAATTCACGTCAAAATACTTCTGAGCGCGAACAAAGACTGACGCTGAGATCCATCCTTCGCTTCAGCGAGCCTGCCTAGGCTTTATCGATAGACAGCAGTTGTATATAAACAGTTTGGATTATAAGTGCCTTCATGAGAAAAGCTATCGTTTATATCGTTGTGGCGCTCTTCATAATATAGCCTAAAGATCGCGATGCATTGCGACGTTGCTAAGTAGTGCGCATAATGATATAAAATAAAAAAATATAAAAAAATCAATTTTAATCTACGAATTGCGCGCATTTATATTCGCACCTGTTATTTCTTTTTTTTTCTTTTTTTCTTGTACATACGTTTATACATATACGTTCATACATACGTTCATACATATACGTTCATATATACGTTTTGTGACGTAACATTTTGTCCGTCACTGTGCGGACTTGTCGACAACGGACTCGCGCTTCCTACCGGCTCGAAGGGCGAGCGCGCAGGCGAGTGCGCACGCGAGCGCGCGTGCAAGCGCACCTGCGAACGTGCGTTAAAACTCGCGTCATTTATTTTACTCGGCAGATTTTCTTCTTTTGTATTAGCATTTCTTTTGCGTAATGATCAAGCGTATCAGAAAGCGTAGACGCGTCACGGATCACGCTCGGCAGCTGCTGTGAAATTTCATTGTATCGTCGTGCCGTCTCGCCCGCCACCCTTGGAAAGAAGACAGGAGAAGGACAGGATTGGAAGGAAGGCCGAAAAAGCTAAGAGAGAAGGGCGCACATCCGGGAGCCCGGATAAGTAGGTTGTATTATTTTATATCATTGCTCGTAACCGCATAAGAAAGGAACCATACACCCCTTTCACCATGCACCTTTTGTAGAGCACCGGAGGAGGCCAGAATTCCCGACCACCCTTGAGGGGCCGGACGGACGCCCGTCAGGAGCATAGGGCCCCGACGGGGAGCGAGAAGGAAATCCATCCCGATCTCCTCCGTCAGGCCAGGAAATGCGGAGGCCATGAGCAGAGACGCCACCCTTGACAGGGACATCTATTGCGCGCTCGTACGAGCCAGGACTCAAGGCCGCGCGGGCCTGCACGGCATGCGCGGATACCGTGACACGCGGAAGCCAATCAGCGTGACTACATCCCCCCGAAGGAGGAGGGAAGCTAAGCAGCCTGCGAGAATCCGCCGGGAGTTCCCGGGCCTCACTCTTTCTGTGGACGAGCGAGCCGCGAGACTTGTGAGGGAAGTGCGAGTTCGCAGCCGAGAAGCCCGAGAGGACGAAAGCGTATCGAGCGGACGTGACGTGAAGGAGACGGCGAGGGTGAGACGAGCGTTGCGCTTGTAAAGCTGCCGACCGGGGTATGTTGTCGGGTGGATCGCACGTAAGCAAGCTCGCATCGTGAAAATAGACCGGCGTAATGGCCGCCGTGTAGAGCCGCGGAACCGCGAGCCACGTGCCATCCTCCCGAGCCTTGGAAGTAATTAGCTGTCGCATTTCGAGAGTCAGAGTAAGGGGAAGAATATTCATTGTCGAGTTGAAGTAAATTAGAGTCGTTCGGAGAGAATCGAGGGCCGAGTCGCGCTCGTTCCTCTCGCCACAGGAGAGTCACTTCCGATTTCCAAGTAGAATAGAGTCGCGTAGAAACGCGCAGAGTAGTCGCATTGTCGAGTCTCAAATTAGAGTCGTTCGGAGAGAATCGAGGGCCGAGTCGCGCTCGTTCCTCTCGCCACAGGGGAGTCACTTCCGATTTCCAAGTAGAGTAGAGTCGCGTAGAAACGCGTAGAGTAGTCGCATCTCGTCGTGTCGCGTAAAGACGCTTATCGTAATTGCGTTGTCGTTTAGTATCGCGCCGCGTAGGCACGCTTGCTATAAATTGTGTCGCCGAGCATTGCGCTGTTGCACCGGAACGCGCATTGTCGCGTTGCCGAGTTAACTTCAGGTTGTGGTGTTACCGAGTAGAGTCCGTTTCCGGGATTCACGTTGTCGAGTAGAGTCGTGTCGCATAGAGGCGTTCGCTATAATCGCGTCGCAACTAGTAAAACTTCTAGTAAAACTTCTAGAATCGAAGAGGGGGTAACTCCTCCCCCTTTTTTTTTCAAGAATTGTGAACGTGTCGCGACACGTTTTATCGCGTTTTTTCTACGTATTTTCTTTGTTCGCGAGTTTATCAATGTTTATACTTTATGGTTTATATTTCGATGGCATTGATGCCGATGATGACGTTGACGAATTTGATGCTTTTTCCCCAGGATATTCCCAATATCTCGTTTCTTCTTTCAGTGTCAACTTTGATACTTTTTCTACAGGGCATTCCCAATATCTCGCTTCCTCCACCTTCTTCGGCGGTGGACTTGGTGGACCTTCCGGCAAGAGACGGTACCCCTTTCGCTCGACCGATTTTCGATGTCGATAGTCTCTTACTTGATCTATGTCTTAACGCTCATAATCGAAGTTTATGACTGAACGAAAAAAGCCTTATACACTGTCTATATACATTGTATATAGGTACATATGTACATGTTCGTACATACACGTTCATACATATACGTTTATACATACATGTTTATATTAGGTGTTAAACTTAATTCCTATCGCTCGCTACTAGAGGGTGCTGGCTCCAACGCTGGCGAGTTTCGACGATGAAGTCATATGTCTTTTGTAGTTTAGACATCGCTGAAAGTGATTCAATCCTCACAGGTTAGATTTCTCGACGCTAAAGAGATTTTCCAATCGATTGAAAATGAATCGCGATAAGCTGTTTTTCCGACATGTGCTTCTTCACTACTTTGACCTCAAGAAAACCGCAGCTGAAGCGCATCGCTTATTATCAGAAGTGTATGGTGATGAAACTACATCGGAAAGAACATGTAGAGTTTGGTTTGAACGCTTCCGAAACGGTGATTTTGATGTGAGAGACAAAGAACGTCCAGGACAGCCGAAAAAATTTGAAGATGTCGAGCTGCAAGAATTGCTTGATGAGAATCCAGTTCAAACTCTTTTAGAGTTGACGAAACAGTTAAATGTTATTAGCCAATGGCCGTCTCAAAACGCTTGCATGCCATGGGAAAGATCCATAAGGAAGGGAGATGGCTACCACATGAGTTGTCTGCAGAAAGTGCCATTTCAAATCGTTTGACTATTGTCGCTTCTTTGCTTGCCAGGCAAAGAAAAAAGAGTTTTTTGTGGCGCATCGTGACTGGCGATGAAAAATGGATTTATTTTGATAATCCCAAGCGGAAAAAATCATGGGTGGACCCCGGCCAACCATCCGCTTCAACGCCGAAGAGGAATATCCACGGGCATAAGACCTTGCTGTGTGTTTGGTGGGACCAGGAAGGTGTGCTGTATTACGAACTCTTGGGTCCAAATGAAACCGTTACAGCTGATAGCTACAAACAGCTATTATACCGCTTGGGTAACGAATTGATGCAAAAAGATCATCCGTAGCCAACAATCGACGCAAAATCATTTTGTTGCATGATAACGCTCGACCGCATATCGCGAAAAGCGTGAAGCAAGCACTTCTGGAGCTTGAATGGGAAGTTCTCCCGCATCCAGCGTACTCCCCAGACTTGGCACCGTCGGATTACCATCTCTTCCGATCGATGCAACATGCACTTACGGACACACACTTCTCCAATCACAACGAGTCCAAAAATGGGTGGATGAATGGATCGCCTCGAAAGACACCGCGTTCTACCATTGTGGGATTGCCCTGTTGCCAGAGAGATGGGAAAAAGTCGTAGAAAACGGAGGAAATTACTTTGATTAAGGTATTCATTCATCTTCCCTTCGAAACAAATTAATTTTGGTGACGAAAAAACGGTAGGAATTAAGTTTATCACCTAATATTATTCGCACAAAAGAATTGATATCAACAATTGGTGCTAAGTTAAATTTTTTAACACGGACGCCAAGTTAAATTCCACAACATTTTATGTATGACTCGTACAAAAGATTTGATATCAACATTTCATGCTAAGTTAAATTCTATAGATGATCATCAATTTGATATATTTTGACATTTTTATATCCCAATTATAAAACGACGGGGGTGGCGGTGGGATTTTTAAAATTATTCTGCAACATTTTAGGTATTATTCATATAAAGATTTGATATCAACAATTGGTGCTAAGTTAAATTCTTTATCTAGATGACCATCGTTTTGATATATTTTGATATTTTTATATCACAATTATAAAACGATGGGGGTGGCGATGGGATTTTTTAAATTATTCCGCAACATTTTTCAGCAGGCATTATTCATATAAAGATTTGGTGTCAACAATTGATAAGTTCTATTTTATATCACAATTATAAAACGATAGGGGTGGCGGTGGGTAAATTTTACCACCAACGCCAAGTATTTAATTGGCCGTGAAACTGATGTCTACCATGATAAAGCGTGACTTCGAAGTGTTGGATTATCGTCGGTTTTTAGAACATTATAATCAGCCATTTCAACAAACGCATATTGACGGTCCACCACCGTTAATTAAAAATTGTTGT